CCGCCGCTGGGCGCCCTCCCCGGGGCGAGGCCTCGCCGTGCTCCCGGGGGTGGCAGGGACCTCAGCGAGCCGGCCTCGGACCAGTCCCCCTGGGACCGAAGCAGCGAGAGTGGAGAAGGACGAGACCGTCCACGCCGCGTGTGAGGCCGGAGCAAGGGCAGGGGCCGCGCGCAGACGTGGCCGCTCGCGCCCTCTGCTGGCTGCGACGGTCACTGCGGCTCGTCCCCGCTGCGGGAGGAGGCTCCTGAGGACACCCAGGCCGGGAACCACCCTCGGCCCAGCAGCGCCCAGTCCGTGGCTGCCACGGGGGAGCTCCGGGGACAGGGCTGCAGGCCGGCGTCGGACACGGCGGCACGCGCGAAGGTCCCCAGGAACGCCTCGATGGCACGGCGCGTACTGCGCCCCGCTTAGGCACATGCCCCCTTCGTGGTGCGTCGCACACTCGGCGTGAAGCCGCGCTTCGTCAGACGCTGGGTTTGTCGCCTGTGCGGTTTGTTCATTTCACAGTTAACACTCGAAAGTCACACCGCAGTCGGCGACGTGGCGCTGGGCCCCAGCGCCTGGCGCCCTGGGCCGTGGAGTGACGCCTCTGTGCACGTTAAGTCTCTCTTCTCTGTTTTTTTAACTCTTGAGCATTTACCTTTTTCTTACCGATTCGACACCTCCTTTTATATATTGACGACATTAACTCTTACATAATCCTCATATTTGTGTCACGTATTTTCCCGAGCGTGTCGTATCCATGTGTTTTATGACATTTTTATATACAAATGTCTTTCATCATCAAGTCAAATCGGTTGTTTTTTTCTTTATGGTTTCCACTTTTCCTGTTATACTAACCCCTTTGGCAATTTAATCGATATTATATTAGCTTTATAAATTAAGGAAGACCTGACATTTTAAAACGCAACTGAGAAATTAAATCCAGGAACATGGTATATCTATTTATTTCTTCTTTTTGAAAAGCGTGGGTACTGCGGATTTTTTTCTTATCTTCACTCCTAATTTTGATCTTTGATGGGTATTGTAAATATTTTCTATTATATTTTGTTTCCTATTTTAATATAAAAACTAACATATGCGTTTTATTAAGATTCGAATTCAAACCCCAGCTGGGCGAGCAGAGGGCAGGGCTCCGCCTCAGCGCCCCGCTGCCGGCCTCACGCCTGTCTGCTTCCTCTCTGATGGGAAGTTTTGCTTTTTTCTCCTTCACAATAATTGAACTTGCAGGATACAAGGCACACTGTGCAGGTGCCTGCACGCGGCGGCCCGTCTGGCCTCTGGCCTGCCTCCGTCGAGGGACAGTTGGGGGCTTTCCGTTCCTCGCACGTCATCTGCAGGGGACGCCCTCCGGCCCCAAAGCGGGTCACATTCTCCCTTGTTCTCTGCACACTCAGCAGGGCAGGAGCAGGTGGGGACGTTCTGGGAGGCGTGTCCCCAGGGAACTCGGTCTCAGCGTGGGCTTCCACACCTGCAGGCCAGGGTCGCGGCCCCCAGACCCCGGCATGACCAGCGAGTGGCCGGGGTCTGCCCGGGGACTCAGGGCCTCCGGGTGGCGGGGCGGTGGCTGAGGACGCTGGTACAGGGTGCCTACCAGAGGCCCTTTGACATAGAAAGTCCCTATGTATTTCCTGCTCTTGCGCTGTCGAGGGCCCCGTGCCTGTCCCCGAGGGTTTTGCTTTCCCCAGCACGAGGCCATCGGCATTTCCCGGGCTGGCTCCCTCGCCCTGGCCTGGCGGGAGGCTCATGGTCTCATCCACACCTGCAGCACGTCTCGACCCTGCCCGGGCCCCTGGCGGAGGCTGAGCAGGGCTGCAGCCCGTGGCCAGGCGGGCCGGGCCGGGCTCTCCAGGGCCTGAAGCCGGATGCCCCGGGCGCAGGCGGGCAGCACGTTTCTCCCGGCCTCCTGGCTGGCCCCCTTCGCTCCGGTTCTGGGCCAGAATCCTCGGCCTGCACAGCTCAGGCCCCAACGTCCGATGCCGGATGCAGCGCTGCCTGTGCTCCCGTCCCTCCTCGGTCTGCCGTGCCCTCGCTGAGCCAGGCCTCGCCGGCGGCCTCCGGGGGATCCCCACCGGGCCCCCAGCCGCCCTGGGTCCTGTTCTCTGGTCAGCGCCCGGCGTGCGGGGCTTTTCCGGGGTGTCGGCTGTTTGTGGCTCGTTTTGTTTTCGACCCACCTGCCACAGCCCTGGTGCCGATGGGGCCACATCCGGGGTGTCCTCCTGATGGGGGGGGCAGGATAAGCAGGCAGAGCGCAGAGGATTTTCAGGGCAATGTAACGCAACTCTGTGTGGCATTACAGTGACAGATACGTGTCATGATATACCCACCCAAGCCCTGGAAGGTGCAGAAGCAGGAGTGGCCCTGATGTGAACTCTGGACTCCGGTGACAGTGACGTGTCAGGGCAGGTTCATCGACTGCCCCCTCCGGTGGGGGCGTCGACAGTGGGGGAGGCTGTGCGTGTCGGGGGGACCCCGTCCTTTCTACTCGGCTTTGCTAGGAACCTGAAGCTGCTCTGAAAAATAAAGTCCATTTTTAAAGATTAAAACATAACATCGATTTTGAAAAGTGGGCGGGGCCAGCCCGGCCATGCAGGCTTCTCCCCTCCAGCTGGGTCCCTCCCGGGGCAGAGGTGCTGGGGCTCCGGGAGCTGGGGCTCAGGGTGTTGCTTTGCACTTCAAGCCCCTCTACCAGGGCGAGCACCTCACACCTCCACACCACCCCGACTCCCCTCCAGTGTCTCAGGCTCACCGGTGACCTCGAGGGGCTCCGTGGGAGGGTCGGCCCTTGCCCTCCCGTGACCCGACGTGGCCTTTGAGATGCGTCCGAGCGCCCCATCCTCCTGGGCACTTTCTGGCTGGTGTCCCTCGTGTCCTGCCCAGCAGCCCTCCATCTTGGGGTGCAGTGGCCACGGGAACGGCGTCCCTTCCCCCCCTGCACTCTCTTACTCCCCCCTTTGGGGTTCTAAATACATCAACGACCTGATGACCTCCAGGTCAGCGTCTTCAGCCAGGGCTCCCCCGGGGGTTCCAGACCCCAAAGTCTCCCTGACATCGCTACATGGTGTCAGAAAATATAACCCCAGGCCGATCGACATACCTTGTGAATACAGGTGCAAAAACCCTTCGCAAAATATCAGCTCATCAAATTCAACAGTAAGCCCCACGACCAAGTGGGGTTTACTCGGGGCGTGCGGTGCGGGTCCCAAACCCAGACGTCAGTCTCCGTCATCCGGTGACCGTACCGATCCTCCCAGGAAAGCATCCGACAAAGCTCCACACCCGCGCGTGATAAACACGCTCGCAAACAGGAGATGCGGACTTCCCACACTTGGTCACGCGCACGTGCAGGGAACCTACCGCGTCGCCCGAGAGCGGGAGCAAGGCGACGGCGCCCCCGCTTGCCACTCTCGGTCGTGGCGTCACCACGGCAACAGGGCGAGAAAGGGGATGAAAGGCATACGGATGGGGAAAGGAGAAATCAAACCGTCTCTGCTGACGGCCGGCGCGGTGTCCACGCACAGCCCGAAGGGTCCTCGGCGGAACGACACCAGCGCCAGAGCCGCCGCGACGTCCTCCGCGTGGCTGGGCCTCGTTCCGCGGGCCCGTCCTCCGCGGGCGGGTTGTGGGTCGTGGCCACTCCGGGGCTGCGGCTGTGGCCGTGCAGGGCTCTGTCCCCACGTCTGCTTTCCGTTCTTCTGGG